CACTCAGTAACATATCATGAGTGTCTGTACTGGTCAAGACTCTTTCCATTGTAAATGACAGAAACGCAACCCAAGCTGGTTGAGTCACAAAGGGAATTTATGCACTGGGTAACTGAAAAGTCAGGGGCTCAGATGAAGTCCTCAGGAATCCTTCCCGGAGGCTGCCTTATTCTCCAGCAGATTCTCCCTGTGGTGGTCCCTGGTGCCTGCATCTGCAGACCCTGGCCACCTCAGGGGAAAGAAGCTCTCTCTTCCCCACCGATCCAACAATAACAGGGTCCCCTTGGCTCTCAGTGGCCCCTTGGGACTTCACCCCTCTTGTTGGGGAAGGTGCTGCTTTCCTTAGCAGGCTTTGTCTCAAGCCCATCCCCATTGGTGGAGACCAACTCCAGAGACTGAGTGGGAGAGGGCATGATTCCCCAGGGAAACGTGGGGTGTGTGATGACAAGGGAGGGGAAAAATGACACCTTCTCCTGTGATACCTCTTGTGTCAACATAGACTTCCCGTCCCAGTTTCTGCTGACATGATACCTTTTCCATGTATGCATGATGGAGGTTTACTAACCAATCCCCACGATCCTTTCCAACTTATTGTTCTAAAGTGTATTGTAAGGGACATCCTGATGCTTCAGCTTTGCCCAGATCCTTCAAGGACGCTTAATTCTCCTAAGTCAGGGTAAAACGGTTACTGAGTTTATAAACTAGACGATCCAAGGACTCTTGGCAAGATTGCAAAACCTCCGTCTGTTCACATCCCAGAACTCTGGCCTCTGGTTGTAAAGGATTCCCAGAGAGACCTACCCCCGGTCTCCCACCCAGGCTGGCCCAGACCCAGAATCGCATCTCCTTCCTCTCCAAACAAAACTCGTATTTTAGAAGTACGGCTGATCTCAGGATACCCGGGTGGCTCGGTCAGTTAAGCATCAGACTCTTGATTTCGGCTCAGGTCATCATCTCACGGTTTGTGAGTTCACGCCCCACATCTGGCTCTGCACTGACAGTGTGGAGCCTGCTTGGGATTCTCTCTCTCTCTCTTTCTCTCTCTCTCTCTCTGCCCCTCCCCTCCACTCTCTCAAAATAAATAAATAAACTTAAAAAAAAAGAAGTAGGGCTGATCTCACTTCAGACAAAAGCAAGGTAAGTACTTGGACATAGTAAAATCCACACGATGGTATAGTTTACTTTCTGAAGTGTGGAATGTGTTTGAGGAGAGATGTTTTTTGAGCGGGGTGGGAAGTTGGACTGTCTCTTAGTTTCTTCAGGCTTACCCTCCCTCACCCCATAACCCCATCACAAGTGACCAGAACCACAGCCCCTTCTGAAAGGTGGCCTCCTCTTCTGTGTATTTCACTGTGAGGCCAATATGGCAGCCACTGCTGGGATGGGAAACAGAGACAGATCGGAGGAAAGCATGAGTTAAAATCCTGTTCTGACGATAACTTCTGCAAATGACTCGTGAAGACAACAAATGTTCGAAATGTTCTTGGCCTGTGGCAGATACTTCAACAGATGATCGTGACAGGTATAGACCCTATTGCACTCTCACTTCTGGAGAGTGCTACGCCAGCATCGAAACAGGAATTAGAAGGTCACACACAGAAGCAGGTGTGTGGGCCTCTAGCACAGCCACTGCCACTAACAGATCCTATAAAACAGGTCATGCCCTCTTCTGTGAGATCTTAAATAGTGGCATTCACTCGGTCCACCCTGCCGGGTCGCTCAGAGAATCACACGAGCTAATGCCTGTGAATGTATCAAGAACTATACAAAAACAGGCATAGCTGTTGTTACCCAAGCCCTTTTAGGAAGAAAGATATTTTTATAAGCTCAATGTATGTGGAAAGAAGCAGAATCATGCACTCATAAACCTATTTATCTAGTATAATCAGAGTCAGAACACTACAGAATTTTACCTTTTTTTTTTTGGAATGACCTATAAGCAAAACGTGCATGCTCTTCTCAGTGACAAGTTCAACTGTCAATAGAGGAGTTCAGAACCCAAAGGATATGTTCAAACATATTCCTAACCCTGTGATGTGTCTGGATTGCTCAATTTAGCCTCAGGAAATCAGAAAGAAATATTTATGTGTGAAAAGCACTTTCTCAAGAAAAATTCCACAGGGCGCTCAACGTTTTCTACCCTTTCAGGGGAAATGCTAGAATTGCCTATTCCACTCATTTCTTCAGCAGATACCTCTTTACATCAGGTACCAGATTGCAGGTGCAATAATAATAATAATCAGGTGCTGGGGTTACAACATAAAATAAGACAGTGCCTAGCCTCAAGTAGCCTCTAGTCTGATGGAAGAAATAAATGAATAAATACAGGCCAGTCTAAGTGCTCGATAAAGCAAGCAAACCCTGATCACATAGTGTGTTTCCTCCACTCTGTTGTGGAGGGTCCTGGAGGTCTGGGCACAGGACACGGGTCCTGGACTCGGGAACACGGGGGCCTTCCATCTGCTTGCAGACTTTCCCCTGGGTGGTATGCAGAGCAAAATATCCATCTCCTTCAAGACAGAGGAAAACTGCCTTGTGGATTTCTGCATGACTGCAGCAGTATTGGGGGAGTCTCTGTGCCTGGCCGTTTCTAATATGAGGACTCGTTTTCATAGTTTGGCTAAGGGAGCAGGGGGAAGGAGTTCTTGGGTTTCACACCATTTTCCTAAGGAGTCAAAGCCTATTCAGATCAACCTGATGGGAAGCAGGCACTGGGCCAAGCCACTCCCCAGCTCTGCCTGTTGCCCTACTCCTGACCTGCAGACCCCCGGCCACCCCCTCCCCCGCCCCCGAAGGCTGTTGGTCATCCTGAATCAGGAAGCACGATTGCAGAGCACCAATGTGTAGCAGGCAGGGCTCCTGGGAGATGAGACCCAACTTGTTTTTCTTTGTTCATAAAGCCAAAGCTTCACATTCTGTTGTTAATGCCATTACTTGTTTGTTTGTTTCCAGCTCTAGGGGGAATACCTTCAGTCTCAAGGGCACAGCTGGCCTGTAAGTGACCTTCAAGTGACTACCCAAAAAAGCCCCCTCCATGGGGCCCCCTAGGGAAAGGGTTTGGTGAGCTGAGCTCTGGTGGTGGACTTCACTCCCATCCACCTCTCCCTTGGCTTTGTGCAGTGTGCAAACTGCCCAGCAGGATAGCAGCCCGCATAGGTCCTGCATTCTGAGGATTTTATTTTGGTCTGGAGAGTACTGTAATTTTTGTGTTAAAACAATGCTGAATATGTAAAGGATCTCTTTATTGTGGGGTTATAATTTTGTTCCTGTGTTTTTTTTTTTTCTTTAGAAAATGCCAAAAGAAGTGTGACTGACATTTTTAAAAACTTACCGAGAAGTAGAAGCTGCCTTGCAGATCCTATTTGCAAGTTCTGCTTCCTGTCTGTGATTTTTATTCATACGTTGTAAAGGGTAAGTGTTCACGTGTCTTTACCTCATTTATTCTTCCTATTCCAGCCCCGGCTCCCAAATTCTTGGGAAAAGGAATCAGCTTTACACCATCAAGTCAGGATTTTGAAGCAATATTCTGGGATGTCTTCTGGGCTCCACAGCTATTTTGAAATGAGACAACCAAATTCTGATACGGCCAGTTTAGCAGAACATTCGCAGCATTGCTTCTGTTTGGGTGTGCCCTACTCAGTTTGGGAGTAGGACAGAAATGGGGGTACTGGCCATACAGAAGGAACCCCAGCACTGCTGGGGAGCAATGGATTCCCAGATCCCAGCGTCTGCTGCATTAAGGAATATTTGCCCTGTACCCAAAGGGCTCCTTTGGTGGTATTTGTTAATTTGATGTTTCACAATTTCTAGAGACTCCTACCGCGGAGCCATGAAGGTTAAATGGGTGAGTGGCAGAATAGGCAAGGTTAAGAAGCCAGTTCCCCAGGGATAATCAGAGCAGGCTTTACCAGGGCTGGCGTAGTTCCTGTTTTTCCTACACTCAGGAATGGACGTTGAGGCACAGAGCAGGCAGGAGAGTGATCTGCCCTGGGCTGGCCCGGGACACCGGGGAACAAACTTTTTAAAGTTGAATGCAATAGCCGGGCATTTCTGGGGCCGGCAGCCTTCGGAGGCCGTCAGCTGTGACAGGTCACCTCCTGGGACACCCACCTGGGCCTCTCTTCTTGGGGGAGCAAGGCTTTTAGGGAAGGAGGAGCAGCCGCGCAGGGAGGGGTGGAGAGGGCTGGCAAGAACCCGAGGCAGCTCTGTTGGCCAGGGCGCCCCCTATTTGATATAACGACTGGGATTTGAATGTGGAAGCGTGCTCCCCAGATGATGTTACAAACATACATAAATACGGATTTAGACGCATTTAGGGAACACTGTCTCCTAGCCAAGGGGTAAGCGTTTAAAGAGTGCGGCGCTCTTTATCCCTGGAAAGCACACTCGGGCGTGTTTCAGCATCCTGGGCCACAGCGGTGGGGTGCAGTTGGCTCCTTGGGAAAGGCGCTCGGGCAGGGGTCGCCAAGACGTCCCGAAGGTCCCAGACCCCCGACGGGGGGCTCACCCCGGGGGGGCAACGTAGGAAACCCAAGTTGGGGCAGATTCAGAGGAGAGAGGAACGTAGCCGAGTGGTAAATGCGGGGTTGGGGTGGGGG